TTTTAACCTTGTCCGATGAAATAAACTCCTGACCAAGTCTTTTATTAATCAATAGTTTCCTGTGTAACCTTGTTATATGTGTTTCTTGTAAACAAATCAAGTCCAATTGTTCCTTTTTTAATAAATGAAACACAGATCTCCTTTTCCGAGGGGACTTCAAACCATTACCCAGCTGCAGCTTCTGGACCACCTTCAACTGCAGACCCACATAGAATGGCTTTCAGTAATCCAACATGGAGGTTACCAGTGCATGGATGACAGTGGTCAGGCTATCTTGGTTCTGGGGGAAAGGCGAGATATGAATAAATACCATCATCAAATGATGAGGTTGAGGACGATATACAGGTGCTTTGGTATCATGGAGAACTATGCATCTGTACCACTAAGACTAAGGGCTCACCCACAATTCCATTTGCCCCACCGCTTTCCTCTGGAGAAACTCGTGGTTTAATGCTGAATTGGAGGAAAGGGCAATTGAGCTTTCTGTGGAGTGCCATTTGTTCCGATTTATCATTGAAGAGTGGGTTTTCTGGGGGAAAGCAGCAAGGCGAAGACACCCCCCCCCTGACTGTGCCTAGAAAGCATGAGACAAGCACAGATAATAAGTGTGGATGAGCCTAAGCTACATTGCTGTCACATCCCTTCTATTCCTTATGCAGAGAATCCATGGCAACATTATCCAGGAAACCTTTAAAAATAATCTTTGGGTTAAATATCAGTATCCTGCACAAAATGGTGCTCGGCACATGTGTGGCTGTTCCAAAAGTCTTACCTTTACGGGTGCTTAACTTTTATGGGTGGTTAAATTGCTCTAATCCTTTTAAGTGAAAAGAGTTTGGCAGGGAGGTGATGGAGGCACACGTATCAAAAACATCAACAGTAAAAAAAAAGAAAGAAAAAGTACAAATACCAGTAGATGTTTATGCCTTTTACTGTATATTAGGCTTTCTAACCTTTTTAGAAAATGGCTATAATTTGAAGACAAAACTGAGTGTTCTTAATGTTACATTAATTACAAGCAGGGCTCTATTTCATTCCATTTTTGGAGACTCATTTTGTGTTTTTGTATAAGAAGTTGCATGTAATGTTGTGGCAATAATGAGCTTAATGTAAATGGAAGCTCTCAGAAGACATAATGTTAGAATTTCAAATAGAAGTGTATCTGAATCTCTCTCTCTCTCACACACACACATCCTGGAATCTCTGCTTGTTGCTTGCCACTAAGTGGCACTATGTTATTTTTATTACACTGTTTAGATCCCATGGAAAATAATACCAGCCAGTCACTGAAGTAAACTTGAGACAATGCAGAGAAAGTTGTAGCTGGACTGCTCTTTGCTTGAAATCTTATAGTCACCAAAGTGTCAACAGCATCACTTTCAAAGTTGCCTTGCAGAAGCTGGCAGAAAAATACAAGACAGTTTATTTGCAGTATCAAAACACCTGATCCTTTGATCTTCTCCTTTGTCCTTTCACAGTATTTTATTTTTACCAAATCATCTTTCGAAATCATCTTTCCTATTTCAGTTAGCTGCTCTGTGAATTCTAATGGAGGGAAATTAATTTTCACTGTAGTGTTTAAGAGAGGGGGAATAGGAAAGCTGCTGTGAAATGATAGTTTTAACGACAGAAAATTGCTGGTAAATCTGTGAGTCACTCACTTTTTATAAGGACAACATAAATTGGGAATGGATACTATGTTAGCCTCAAAAGGTCCTATCAATTTTCTTGAGAAAGATTAATTAAAATGGCTATGCAGGAGTAGCCAATTGTAGAATCACATGTGATACTCTCCAGTCATTGTTGGGCTCCAAGTTGCATAGCCAATGGCCAAGGATGGTTGCGCATTAATGTTGTGGCACAAGGGTTAAGGAGCTCGCTACTAAATGAAATCAAGCTGACACCATCTGTAATAAAACAAACCAATAACCACACAGTTAAAAGGCCATATAATGCTAATCAGTCAAATGCCTGGTTGAAGAGGAACATTTTCTCCAGGTGCCTAAATATATGTAAGGAACGCGCCAGGCAAGCCTCCTTGGGGAGAGCATTCCACAAACAAGGAGCCACTGCAGAAAAGGCCTGTTCTCTTGTTGCCATCCTCTGGACTTCTCATGGAGGAGACGCACAAAGAAGGGCCTTAGATGATGATTACAGGGTCAGGTTATATATGGAGAGAGGCAGTCCTTGATGTATCGTATGGTGGTCCTGAGCCGTTTAAGGCTTTATAGGGCAAAACCAGCATGTCAAATTAGGCCTGGAAACTATGGTAACTGGCAGCCAGCGCAGTAGGGCCAGGATCAGTGATATGCTCAAACCATCTGGTCCCAATGAGCAACCTGACCGCCGAATTCTGCACCAGCTGGAGTTTCCGATCCGTCTTAAGAAGCAGCCCTGTGTATAATGTGCTGCAATAATCTAACCTAGAGGTTATCCCTGCCCAGATAGGGTGCAGTTGGGCCACCAGCCAAAGCTGATGGAAGGCACTCTGCACTACTAAGGCCACCTGAGCCTCAAGCGACAGCAAAGGATGCAGAAGTACCCACAAGCTGCATACCTGCTCCTTCAGAAGGAGTGCAACCCCATCAAGAAGTATCACAGACATTACATCAATTGTTATTTTCTAAAAAAATCCAACAAATTTCATCTTGCTTATGCTGTATGAAGGCACTTCATGTTGTAGGGATTATCTTAATCTGTGGCATAGCATGCATTTACCTTGTGGTTTGTATGTGGGCAGAGTTTTGCAGCAAAGAACCTGTATCTTTGGTTTGTTTGTATATCTTGGAGAGCAGACGGCCAGCCTACGATGAGAGATGGAGTGGGACCCATGATTGGTGCAGACTGAGGTCTCTGCACACCTACAGTTCCTCACATTTACAGAGAAACCAAAGCAGCTTAGCAAAGTACTCTAGATTTGCCACATCTAGGATATTACTGCAAGCTTTCTCAGACATTTGAAACCATGCTTGGGTACATGACGCTTTTCTGCACTCCAAGCTTGGCAATTCAAATAAACACTGCTTCACATATGCTTATCTTCTGCATCTGTGCCATAACCTCTATACATGCCTACATAACCAACAATGACCTACATACATCATCACAAAAGTTTCTGTGTACGCTACAACGAAGACACCTGCATACCGGTGCCCTTTGCTCAAAGACTAGCTTCTTGAGAAACCTGCCTGGTTTCTTCTTCTTCATTTGTTGGTCTCTTTGTTCTTTTCATTGACAAGACCTAAGAAGGAAAAGAGACCAAAATTAAATTTTTGCTCTATGGTGGTTAGTAATGTGAATTGCTCCCAAAACTACTAGGGAAAACTATATGTTTGCTGCTCAGACAGGGATCATGGCAGTCACTTGAGAAAATTTACTTTATTTGTAAAAGGTCTCCAAAGTAATATGTAATATTCCAGTAGCTGAAAGTAAGAAAAAGTGAGCTTCATCATGTTGCATCTTCCTATAAACAACACCACCACCACCACCAACAACAACAATTTTTTATTTATACCCTGCCCATCTGGCTGGGTTCCCCAGCCGCTCTGGGCGGCTTCCAACAAAATATTAAAATACAATAGTTCTTAGATATTAAAAGTTTCCCTAAACAGGACTGCCTTCAGATGTCTTCTAAAAGTCTGATAGTTGTTTTTTCCTTTGACATCTGGTTGGAGGGTGTTCCACAAGGCAGGCACCACTACCGAGAAGTAAACTATACCTTAGTGTGTGTATGTTTTTAATCCCTACATGTACAGTTTTTGTTGTTTTGATAACACTGTGTACAATCATTTCCATGGTTGGAGCTATGTGCATAACAAAAAAAAATTGGTAATGGGCACAGAAGGGGCAAAGTGTAGTTCTGAAGGGGTAAGCTTTGTGTCCACATAGTAATGGAGGGGGGAAAATGGTCTGGTTTGGATTTGAATGTGAAAGTACCTAATTTGTACTTTCTGAAACAATATGCAAAGTGCAGCATAGATAGCCTTCAAAATTCAGATTTCTCTGAATCATGTGGTGCAAGATAATAAGGACTAATATTTGGGGAAAGTGTGCACAGAAATGCATATATGTATTGGTGAAAACATTTTGGGGGAAATGGGTGCCTTCCCAACAAGTACCACCGTGAACAAAAATGTTTTAGAATTTCTCTCTCTTTTCACAATAAAATAAAATCTTGTAATAAATAGGGCCGTAGAAATAGAGATGTGTTTATCACGCAGCACCTAGTATAAACAGTTGCAGGAACTGCTCATTCTTCTGGAAAGACTTATCAACCGGAATATAGTTGAGGTGAATTTCAAAGCCCCCAAACATCAGGCAATAGCGAATAAGGGCAATGATTCACTTTTATGGCATAAGTTTTTGTTTATTAGTGGTGCCATCTATTTTTAAATCATTGCATACATATTTTCCATACTCTTTAATATCTTCTCTTTGGGATGAAATTGGCTTTGCCATCTTCACATCAGATGTTTTCTTTGGCTTTTAAAGATGTATTTGTCTTAGACTATTTTATAATGGGAGGATCATTTATCAGATCAGTAGCATAATTTTGACTTTTGCTGAGCTATATAAATAGGATACAGAATACCAGTGAGGGAAATAGCATATCATCCACCCACAAGGTTCAAAGTCTATTGATCAGAATTTTTCAGGTATTACAGTTAAGTGGGGAAATATAAAATACTTTGTTTTCGTTTCTGGAGATACTGCCTGAATCTCAAATGAATGGCTTTGCTTCTGTCTGGCTTATCCTGAGCTTTAGGGATGTTCGCAAGTAGCATTCACCTTTTCCCAGACAAAGAAAAATAGAAATGAAAGTTTTCTTATTTTGAAAAGAATGAAATGAGGCATGCATGCATCCGTTGTGGTTTTTTTTTTTTTAAGAACAAAGCCATTCAAAATAAATAAATAAATAAATAAATTTATAGTCCACTTTTCAACACATTTCCTCCACAAAGTGGCTTACAACTGTATCTAAAATTTTAAAAACACCTTACATGCATGCATGCACATGCACACACACACACACACACACACACACACAGATACACGTTATTCAATAAAATTAGAGTAGTGTCATTGAATGATTTTTTTCATTTCTTTATTCAGCTATTTCTAGACCACGTTTTCATTTTAAAAATGCAGAAAGGTGGAATGCAACATACAAAACTACAGTAAGATTAATCAAACACCAATTAAAACTAGTTGAGAAAAAGAAATTCATGTTCCAAAGCCCTTCTGAGTAACAGCTTTCAGTTGACGTCTACAATTAAGCTGGTATTATTCCTGCTGAGACTCTAGTGGCAAGGAGTTCCACAGAGCAGGAGCTGTCAAGCTCAAAGCCAGTGATAAAATCCAAAGAGACATTATCTGCTAAAGGTTGCTGAAAAGAACAGGGCCTACCGTGCTGTCTTAAACATTGCAAGGGATCAAATTTGCACTGCCAAGTTTTCCTTTCTAAACACACTAGCAGCCCCCCCCCCCATTTATTCAGAAGTTAAGTCCCACTGCGTAAGCAGGCATATGACTTCAACCTTGAAGGAAATAAGACTGTGTGGTATGATGGGCAATATCTAAATTATTATTGAATAGTCTCCAGTACATTTAGTTCTTTGTTTGCTCACCCTAGAAAAATACTGTGTTTCCCCTTACAATAACGATGCTTTCTAATGACAATAGGGTGCCATAATTCATGGAGGGGATGCCACTTAGATGCTGTGTGTGTGTATCATACAGCTGCCACCGGATTCCAATAGCGCACAATGCTACTGTGCCATGAATTATGGTTTGCCTATGAAACACTTAAACTATATTTAGAGGCGGGGAAACTACCTCTGCTTGCAAAGAAGCAAAGGCAGCGCTAGACTGACCATATTGCACACTGCTTTCCAAGTTGCGAAATAATTCCTTGTGGGACTTCAGAAGTCAGCTTTTGCTTCTTAATTTCGTAATTAGCAGGATCATCTTTAACTTATATAGGTGCCTGAGGTATAGTGCCTCATTGCGTTGGAATCACTCTTAAAGCTTTCTTTGTTCACTGGAAGTTTAATAAGATTTTTTTTTTCCTCCAGAAAGTACTGAGTAATAAAGTTTGGGTCAATCAATTATTCATTTGCTAGCTAAAATTTCAGTTTAACAATCTCTTCTCCTAGGGTTTGGCTGCGTGTATTCCTAAAGCTGCAAATAGGAAAATAGGTGAATGGGGTAACTAAAAAATATAGTAGGCAAGGATGACTAAATATCTTTATTATATTGCATCTGTAGAAAGAGATCATAATACTGCTTGGGATAAATGGGACTGTGGAAGTGGATACTGCATTCTTTACATTGGCTTCATACAAAAGTACAAAGGATATCGTCAAAGATAGAAATAAAATACAGTGGTACCTCGGGTTACATATGCTTCAGGTTGCATACACTTCAGGTTACAGACTCCACTAACCCAGAAATAGTACCTCGGGTAAAGAACTTTGCTTCAGGATGAGAACAGAAATCGTGTTCCGGCGGCACAGCAGCAGCAGGAGGCCCCATTAGCTAAAGTGGTGCTTCAGGTTAAGAACAGTTTCAGGTTAAGAACGGACCTCCAGAACAGATTAAGTACGTAACCAGAGGTACCACTGTATCACACATGCACATTTTATAAACATCTGGTCTCTGCAGTAACCTCACTATTAGCTTAACACTTGAATTCACTTTAACATGGTTGCCTAAAGAGATGATTAAGCAGTTGGGGGGCTGGCCCACAGATAACTGAGGGCCCCAGAGATTCAGGAAGGCCCCCGTCATCAACCAAGTCTGACTATGCCACCACTGATCACCCTCCTTGCTGGGTTTCTGAACAGCCATTTTAGCAGTGCATGAGTGATTGTACTTTTTGATGGGAGCAAAACATGGCTTACACCTGCCATTTCACCTGCTTAACACAAGTCTAGTGAATGGATGTACATCCCTGTAAAATATTCTGCAGTCATGTCAATGGGCAGCTCGGTGAAAAGCAAGGGGAGATGATTCATCCCAACTCCTGCAAAGCTGATCAGTAAGATAACAGGTTGTTCAACAGCGCTGGCTGCTGGCTGGATGTATGGAATTGCTTAGGCGGAGGTTATCTTATGTGCACCTTTGGCCCTAGATGAATTAGGCTCTGCATGTATATGTGCATTGCTGGCCAAATGAGATGTCTTCAGTGCTTGTGTGCAAAAATGGGCAAAACAAAACCAAAAAAAAGCTCAACAACCTTGGCCAAAAACAACAACAACAACAACAACAAACTCAACAACTATTGCCACCAAAATTGTTGAACTTTTGGGGGCAAACCTACCCCCAAAATAGTGGTTTTAAGCTTTTTGAGCTGTTTCTGCTGCTTTTTCCATCGCACTGCCATACATTAATTCAGCAAAAAATTTCCTCTCACGCCATTTTTACACCCGAAAAGGACATGTCAGGAATTTTCCTGACATATGGCAAGCTTAAAATAGGTAATTACTTGGAGAAAGCCTGGTGCTCACTGGGAATTTGAAGAAACAACAATAAAGTGGTTTTTTCATGGATAGTACAATTTGTGAGTTTTGGTGCTGCACACACACACACACACACACACACAAGCAAGCAAACAAACAAACAAACACATACCAACCTGGGGCTCCGACCTAATTTGGGTAGCTCCTGACCCAGCCCTGAATCACCTTTGTGGGAGCTAATGTTTTATACGGGTTTATTTGATCCACCATGTTGATTCAAAATGGTGCCAGACTTTCAAATGTAGATGAAGACTGCTGCCTGCACCTCAGGAACCCTTGTGCTGAGCTTGGCAACAATATCTTAAGAGGCATCCAAATCAGCTCAGATTGTACTTGTCATGCCCCCTTCCCCAAAAAACTTTTCTGAGTGCCACATTGATTCAAAACAGCGACTGGTTTCCTAACATTGATGGAAACTGCTGCTCCTACCTCAGAAACCCTCATGCTGGGCTTGAAATAGGCACAGTTTGGACCCAACATACCCAAAATTGAAGAAAGGCACACCGAAGTCATATTTTGTACCACCATCGTGATTCAAATAGTGGTCCAACATCAATGAAAACTGCTGCCCCCCACCTCAAGAACCCTCTTGCCGAGTTGGGCGACAATGCATGGACTTAAGAGGTGTCCGAATGCACGGAGAACAAACAGACAAGCCATTCTCCAAAATATAGTTAGTACAGTATGATGTGACGGTTCCAAAAAATGGGATTTGGGACCCCATACTTTTCAATACTGTCTTATTTATAATTCTGCTCTGCTCTGCATTTACTAATCAAATTATTTAGACTCCAGATCTTCAACCATATGTGAAATCAAATATCTTCACAATTCCATGATTTTTTTAGAGCACAATTCTCAGTTTATTCTTTTTTTATACCAAGACTTAACGATCCTCCTTTGGATACTTCAATATTTCTGTTTTGTTATCAAACGTAACCTTTAATTTGGCTCAATATTGTACATAGGGGTTTTCTTGTGCTAAATAGATGGTTAATTCCTCCTTCCCAAGTATCCTGAGTATTTGCAGCTGGTTTCAGTATCCATATTTTTCAGAAATTAATTATTATTGCCCAAGGTCTTTTGCATTCTTTTGGTTTTAATTGCTGTGAGTGATGAACTCTTCTGGGCCTGATTATCATTTACACTAAGGCCCCTCTATACCACTTTGGTAGTTTAAAGAAGCCTTTTGGTGGGTGTAAATTACATTTAAGACCACTCTAAGACCCCTTCATGCACACAGACAGATGCAAATGAACCGTATTGTAAATGAGAATATATTTTTTTTTACTTCAGCATGATATTGTGAGCGACTGTATAATCCACGAGAAAAAGCAAGCACAAGAAAGGTTCCGTTCTGCCAAGATTTATGGCAGGAATTCTTAAGGAAAGTCTTATGAGGTAACTTTTAGGACTACCAGTTTCAAAAACAGACCCCTTGGTATGCAAAAAGCAGTAAAGGACATGACAACCTTTTGAGATAAAAATGGCCGCAATTTTATTGATTACAAATGTAAGAAGGCTTTGATTTAGACATATTTCCTGGGTGTATTTCCTGGATTTAATGTTTGATGTATTACAGTATTTTAATATTTTTTTGGAAGCCGCCCAGAGTGGCTGGGGAAACCCAGCCAGATGGACGGGGTATAAATAATAAATTATTATTATTATTAGCCAATCTGGTTGCTGGCTGATAACTTTGTCAGGGTCATTCCTGAACTAAGGATCCCCATTTGATGCACATCAAATACGGGCAAACCCTCCGGGACACAGGAGCCAACTCCTAGGGGGTGTGGGGGCTTCACCCCCCCAAGTAAAATATTTGAGGGGGCTGAGGCCCCGCCAGTTGATGGGCATTGCCATTCAAATGGTGTGCGTGCACCATGTCATGTGATCGATTATGCGGGGCAGGGCTTACCTGCCCACCCAATATTTTATTCAAGTTGGCACCCCTACTCCAGGATGCCAATTGGAGGGTTATATGGCCCACCATCAGGGCATACGGACAGAACCTTCCCCATAGGACCTCTTTACCAGGGTACCCTGATACTTTCATCCAGAGGAGAGGGGATTTTGGCTGCTTAGGAGGAAGAGCAGGACTGGGATTCCTTTTAATAGGCTTCACAATCCTTTCTTCTTGCATAGGGGTACTAATTACAATCATACAAAAGGACCCAGGCCTCTGAAATGGTCTCCCGCCTCAACAAGATGGCGCTCCCGCCAAGGCAAAATGGCGCTCCTGCCAAAAACTAGTCAGGAACGAACCTGTCCCTGCGACCTAAAATGGCGGCCAGAATGAAACAGGATTTCCCCCCCACACCCTTAACAAATACCCGACTAGGCTAAAACAAATGGGGGCACAATCAAGGCAAGGAGAGGGAACTTTTGCTGCAGTGAAACCAATAAAGGACTTAACAAGCACTAATAGAGTGACATTCGCAATTGCCCAAAGTCGCGTATTAAGCACAAGGCTGCCGCCGCAGCCAAAACACCAGCCACTGCAATGTGAGGGAGTGATAAACAGGCAGCGGCAAGCTCCACAACTGGATCACCCAGGAGCTGGAGCCCCAGAGGGGCAAAGCCCCGCTAGAAGGAAAGGGGAAGCAGACAACTCAAAAAGGAACAAT